TTCCCATATGCACTTATCACTGTTGTAATACCAATAATTGTTATGATTACATTTGGTCTATTGACAATATCGAACGTGCAAAATTCACGTCGTCGTGTGTTTACAACAACAGTAACACAATTCTCAAATAATGGCCCAAATCAATCAGAACGATGGAGAAAGACAGATTATTATTTACTAGTTATGCTCCTTGTGCAAACCGTTCTTTATTGTTTTTTTACACTTCCACAAGCAATACAAAAAATGTATTCAACAATGACTGAAAGCCAGATAAAATCTCCTTTACAAAATACCATTGAAAATTTAGCTTTTAATATTTTATTGCTTTTAACTTATTTTTCAAGTGGAATACCATTTTATATTTACACATTATGTGGTGGAAAGATATTTCGTCAAACATTAATTAATGTCTTGAAAAGAATTTCTAAAAGATGTACTTGAATAGCAACTTTAAAGTTTTATGACTGTCTCATTGTGTATTTTTTTTTTGTTCTGTATCATTTAAAAGCATATGTGTTGTTTTGTAACTAGATGACATATTATGTATATTCATTAGTTAAAGTTTGTTTTTAATTAGGCGTAAAATTATGGGATATTTTTCTTAGATTCAAAATAAATTCTGCTTTTCCCTCCAATAAAAAAAGACATAATATCCAGTCAAGTTATCTGTTTTTAGTGTATTGAGCTATTATATGTACACCAATCATTTCTATGTTGACGTAGGAAAGTTATATTCCAAAATATTTTGATAAATAAGCGAGTCAATATATTAAATTATTGAATAATGAATTTCGAGCAGCACAGTTATTATACTTCCACACAGAGTACATAAGATTAGTAACTTTTCTGTTTTTTCTGTTTATCGAAACATAACTCAGCAAAAGTTCACAACATAGTTTATTTGTACTTTCTTTATTATATATGAATCCGATCACAATTAAAGACTAAAATAATGAGAAAAAAATAATCCTCAAATACAAATAACCGTATGTCGAATATTATGAAAAATTTCTTCACATCATACATAGAGTGCTTTTTTCTGTTTCTAGCAGTTGTCTTCGCATCAACTATACTACTGTTTTCATGTCCGATCTCGACAGAAAGAAGATGAAAACGATAATTAGTCTTAAGCTATACCCAGAAGATACTTCGCTCTATGTTGATTACATATGAAAATTGAACTTGAGAACAGTTTAGAAATGATCTATGTTAATGACACAAAGTTGAAGATCTTTCATTTTTCTTTGATCAGAACATCCGCAGATCGAATGAATTTCAATCACATCCATTTGTATAATTCACGACTTTTTGAACACAAAATATATTTCAATTGAGTGTTATTGCGAACTCGACAATTTCCGTAATTTAACGAGGTTTGAATTGAAAAAGCTGACAAATTCTACTATTTCCTGAAGTTAACTAGTTTTCAATTGACAATACTCCAAAATAAAAAAAATCCCTGAACATAACTATAGTTGAATATAGAATTCTTGCACATTTGAATATTTTGTCTAATCAAACGAGAATTAATATAGCTATATTCATCAACTCTAACTCTCTTTGTCACTAGCTTAATATCTTTGCTTTATACTAGTTGGAAGAATTGTTTTTTTCTACTCATCTCTTCTCATTGATTATGATATAGTCATGTTAATAGTCTCACATAAGAAAGATAATTCTAAGAAAAAAATCTATAAACAAATATAAACTAAATACTTAAAATGAAGAATATTTTATTATTTGAATCTTTTTCAAAATAGTTTACAATGAAAATATTTTGAAAGAACATTTAATTTTTTCTTAAAACTTAATCTTGTCTGATATTGATATATATAATTATAATTGACACTTATTTAACATATAGAACTGTAATTAAAAGGGAAAATGTTTCACGGGCTCTTTCCGGCATGAACTTATGTAATACAATGAAGTATTTCTATTGTAAACATAAACATCTTAACATTTCTTTCATTGGTTTTGTAACTTATATCAGGATAATAAAGTCTGCCCTATGAATAAAAATAACTGTTGTTCTTGACAATCCATAGTATCTGTTGAGAAGACATCAAGCTAATCATCATATTTTACACTGATGAATAAAAATGAGAGAAGTAGACAGTTGCGAACATTTCGAGACACAAGTCCTAATCGAAACGGCCCGTAACTCTTAGTAAATTAAACTTCGAACCTGATTTTTCGTGAACTTCAAACGTTAATAAAGGAGACATACAGTCAGTCTTTAATAGTTTTTTCTTCTCTTTCCAGCTTGACATCACTTGAATAAATACAAGTCAAAATTTGCTGTACGGTAGAAAAGTCCAGTGTCGTTGCTGATTTGACAATTTTTTATATCAACTGTTGAATCTCACTTTCGGTTAACCTAGTGGCTTTGTAAACTTTTCCTATGTTGAACATAGAATGATGAGAGAATCAACAACAAGAAATAATGTCACATTCACTTTACCCGAGAGTAGTCAATAAATAGCTAAAACTTTCATCATTTACTAAGTTACGTATACAGAGGATATCAGATATCGATGAAAAAAAAAACTTCGGTCTACCCTCAACTTACTGCGAATCAAAGTACAAAACGTACTTTTTTTTGCCGAGTTCAGAGACTAATTCCGGTTCATAAAAAAAAGCGAACTTGTGGCTTCCTAGAGAGAAAGACGTTTTTCTAAATGAATCGCTTCAATGATGTTGATGCTCATTTACCGTCGTTTTCATAATTATAGTTTAGAAGGCTTTAACTGCAATAAAAGACTTTATATGATACCCGAATGTATAAAAACTAATTAGAATAACAGATGAATAGAACCCAATAAACATTCAACCTAAATGATTTATTGCCAGTAGACAGATAGTATTAAATATCATAGGAACTAAGAACTTCAACATCTTTCATAAAAGATATCAATAACTAATTATTTTCTGCTGAATGAGATATGCCAATCTATTACATAATTGGCATTGTGCTTAATAGTTCAATTCGGCACATAGTGGGATGTCTAGTACCCGTTCTCATTGTTTGTCTTCTACTCGTCGAAGTAGAAGGTCATATATAGTAAATGAGATAACTTTGCAGTATGTTATACTATGTGCCAGTTATCTTTCTAACAACTTGTATAAAAGATATAATTTTTCAGTGGTTTCTAAAATTTTCAAGTGACATAATGACATACAGTAGCATTTGTATATATATATATATATTCTACCATAACATTCAGCAGAGAATGTCTCTTATTACTAATTAAATCCATGAATGCCATAAACTTGAAGTTCAATCTATGATTTTTCTTTAACATCATAGATGATCTTATTTACTCAAATAATTAAAATTTCATGAATTTTGATTATAAAACTATGATCATTTGTAGTATTTTTCTTTTCAATTAATATAACTCCGAATAACATTAACAAGATATAGTTGTTCGTGTATATATTCTTTTATTGAACGATAGCGATGCAGAGGAAATTTTAATGACATAATAAATTACCAAATTGGAATATCTTATTTGAATATTTAAAATTAAATGATCTTAATTTTGATACGTATCGATGTGCTCACAGTGGAAAAAAACTGTTTCGTTGAATAAAAGAATTGCAACAGTAACGATATGTTTTTAACTTTAAAAGATTTATATTAGAAGAAATTTTGAGTCATTTAATTTTTATTTTGAAACTATAATAACCAATCATTTTTTGTTCAATAGTGATTAGATTTCGAGTTCAGTCTCACATGATAAGTGTTTCTAGCAAAGAGTAATGTCTTTTTTTATCGAACAGATTAGCAAAATAACCTATTGACTATACCGAAATTTATGATCATGCCATAAGAAATTTAAATCCTTCTAAAAAAAACAAATATCAATTTTGTTAAAAATATGAAAATTGAGATAAATGCATGAGAAGATAATTCTAGTTCTGATCTTTCATAAATGACATGATTTTTTCTTTAGCATAAATTTTTTTCTAAAAATTTTCTATCATTTTCTACTCGAAAAATATGATTTCTTTTAGAAAAGGCAGGAAATCCTTTTCACTTTTTCTTTGTTTATACTTTGTTTTTGACTATATATTCCAAAACTCTAGAAGGAGCTTCATCGCAGTCAATTATTATTTTTTTGTTGTTTGAAAAAGCATGTCAGGATATAAAATATGACAAAGCACTCCTTCCGGAATTAAATTTTGTTACTATTATATAAAAGAGTACTTTTATAGCTAGACCGCAAGTTTTTTTGAGGATGATTTTAGGTATTGAACTTTTCTCTCCTTAAAGAGTAAAAAATTTAAAAGAAGAGCTCTCTCATGGCATACATCAAAACAGACTCTTTCAAACAAAACAATTACGTATATATCATAAGAACCCACGGAGAATTGTAGGCTGCCAAATGATCTATTTTTAACCATTGTCTCTTGAATATCTGTCGAAAACCTCATGATATAAAGCTGGAAATTGCATCAGTCTCACTACTAAAGCCTCAATTTATCCCAAAAAGAATTGACACATTTCAGTTTATTTATTTTTTATTTTATTGAATACAAAAAAACAAGTTTTCAAGGACTAAATAGTCTTGACCTGATCGATCAGTTTTGAGCATCTTCGATAATAATTATGATAATTATATTTTTTTTCTTTTGCAAACTCAATATGAAAATTAAATAGTGTAGATGATTGATACTATGATCATATCACGTAGATGAATTTTCATACTTTTGCAGGAAGCTATTGTCTTTAACAGTCGAGTTAGTACGGAAAATTTTTATGAGTAAAACGTACGTCATATCATATTCTATCAATCAATATGGTTTTAACAGAAGTCTCATTTTAATCGAAACATTATAAGAAAGTGGTCATTTCAGGAGTACTATACAAGTCAATGTCGACCGTTTGCCTATTGAATCTTGATTTACTTTTAATTTCAAAGAAAAATGAATATCATACCTGGAGTCAACACAGAAAACTTGTTATATAATATACATTTCAGCAAAAATAATTCTTTAGGATAAAAATCGATGTGATTCCCTTCAACAAGTTTTTTCCTCAAGTTTCGTCCATGATCTTCCCATGGTGCATTTGTCATAAAAAAAATTATTTTCGCTCAAAAGTATATAATATAACGTATTTTATTATACTTACTCCAATTATGGTATTTATTTTCATCTGAACTTGATATTCAATCAAGATTCGATAGGGAAATGGTCGACATTGCCTTTTATAGTATTCTCGAAATGGTCACTTTCTTACAATGTTTCTCTGAGAATGGAGCCATAGAACAGAATACATTTTTCTTGACACTATCGAAGTTGGTAGAGCGTGAGATTGCGCACTTTCTGATCATAAGTATTTTAAATGCTAAATTGGTTTTTAAATACAATAGCATCCTACAAAAGTCCAACTGATAGATCCCCCCCCCCCTCCAAGACTATGTAGACCACGA